AACTAATTTAAATTAATGTCTTTTCAAACTAATTGGAACTAATTTTAACCTAGAAATTAATTCCAGTTCATTTTCACTGCGAAATTGATGTAAACTAATTTCCTACAAACGAATTTAAATTAATTTGGCCTCTTAAATTGATGTGAAGTAATTTTTCATCGTTTTTTGAGTCAGAAATTAGTGTACATTAATTTAAAAGTTCCAATGGGAAGTTCCAATGGGTTACGGAAACTTTCTTCGACGTGTTTTGAATGTTTTTGATCATGTTTTACATATATAATATCTGCTCTCTCGTAGACCATGTTCAGCATCACGCGACATCTATTGAACTGCAAAGACATTGCATGCAATCTTATTCAACGGACAGTGAGAAAGAAAAGAAAAAATATTATTACGACCATATATATTAGGCGACCATTTTTGGCAACTATTAACTAAGACATCGTCTGGATTTTTGTTCTTTTTTTATGTATAAGGTGGTAATCTGACATACATATATAAATCAAAAATCTGTAGAGGTCTAAACATATTTATAAATTCAAAACAATGCTCACACCTCCCTTCGGTCGGCGCTAGCTGGAGACCTGCCTAACACATCTTCTGGACTTTTTCTGTTTTCATGTGTAAAGTTGGGAATCTAATATGCATATAAACAGCAAAAATCTCAAGAGGTCTAAAACTATTTTTGAATTCAAAACAATCCTCATGCTTCCCTTCGGTCGGCGTTCGCAACCAGTATAGATGAGAAATGCTATGAACTTCTCTGATTCCACCGGCAAACCATCTAATGTAATATAAAGCTAAAAGGTTTTCTGCACACACTCTGCAGATCCCAAGGAGGTTGGAAGTATTTCTAATCGATTTGTTATAATAGATTATCTATACACTGTCAATTTTATTACCCGTATATCACTTTTTTTGTGTTGTCACAGTTGACTGCTATCTGGCGACATCTACCACTCGGCCTACAGAAAACGTTTGCTTAGCTGTTTACCTCTCTGCATCAGTAGATATTTCAGATGATCTCTTTGAATATTTTCTCTCTTATGTAAAAAATAATTTTCTTTCACACACACTGGCACTAATTAGTGCCACATGGTGGGATACTTTTTCATATATGGGGAACACCAGCTATAATGACACCATGCATTCACAGTGGAACACCTGCTATAGGAACACCACTTTTTAAAAAAACCTTTCTGTTTTTCTATGATCACATTCAAATCGTATGACATTTGAAGGCACTTTTTCTACTTTATATCTGTATTTCATTGTATCACATGCCGATGAATTAACTTACATTTTCTAAACCGTCCTTCAACTCAAGCTACTTACAGCCAGTGTAATTTTGTGAAAACTTTCTAAGACTTGTCCATTTTCCGAAGGAAAAGAAAGTTTGAAGTATAAAGTTTAAAGACGAGAATTGTTGTGGTTGCAGAGAGTTTTTTGTCAGTAGCTGTAAACTTTCGGGGTGAAATTGTGATTGACCAAATTTCAATACAAATTTGGTGTTTACAGCTACAGAATCGACTAGTGACAGACAGTGTATTATCGATCTGATGTTGTTAGATACAAGTTTTAGAAATTATTAGGATATATTATTACATCTTCAATGTTATAGTCTAGCAGATCAATACTTTCGATGATTTGTCGTGGACTCCAGAAAAACTGTAACTGATCAATACCAAGTCCCAGAAACTTGAAACCCTCCTATTTTAGATAACGTTAAACTGTAATACCTATGGTAGAAATTTAAAAGCCTCATAAAGTAAATGAATTTTCTATTCAAAATCTTATATTTTGTACAGAACAGCAATATGACAAATACGTAGAGAAGTTATTTAAGTTGTTTTTTTATTTATTTATTATAGATAGTAAATGGCAAAAGTAATTATCTTTTCTATTCAAGAGGGTTTATTAATAAATTATTCTCGAAATATATTTTGTCTATTCTCTACAAGATGTCAGTCAACAAAAAGTTCTCATCGTTTTATTGATGGTCCAGATTTTCAATCATTTTTACGTGGTGATATACCATCAAAAACATCATCTAATTCTTATACTGGTAATTTAGTACGTAAAAAAAGTGAACATTTACGCATACCACCATGGTTAAAAACTGAAATACCAATTGGTAAAAATTATTCTAATTTAAAACAAACATTATCAAAATTAGATTTAAACACGGTTTGTGTTGAAGCTAAATGTCCTAATATAAATGAATGTTGGAATGGAGGTGAAAATCAAATATCAACAGCAACAATTATGTTAGGTGGAGATGAATGCACTCGAGGATGTCGATTTTGTTCAGTTAAAACAAATCGTAAACCACAACCACTTGATCCATTAGAACCACAAAAAACAGCTGAAGCTATTTCAAAATGGAATATTGATTATATTGTTTTAACATCTGTTGATCGTGATGATTTAGATGATCAAGGTTCAAAACATATTGCTAAAACAATTAAAGAAATAAAATTATTAAAACCAAATTTATTAATTGAATGTTTAACACCTGATTTTCGTGGTAATCATCAATGTATTGAAACAATTATTAATTCTGGTGTTGATGTTTATTCACATAATATTGAAACAGTTAAAGAATTACAATCATTTGTAAGAGATTTAAGAGCATCCTATGATCAATCATTAAATGTTTTAAAATATGTTAAATCTATTAAATCAAATATAATTACAAAAACATCATTAATGTTAGGATTAGGAGAAACAGATGAACAAATAAAACAAACATTAGACGATATTAAATTAGCTCAAATTGATTGTTTAACACTTGGACAATATATGAGACCAACAAAAAGACATTTAAAAGTAAAAGAATATATAACACCAGAAAAATTTGATTTTTGGAAACAATATGGAGAAAATTATTTAGGTTTTAAATATGTTGCTAGTGGTCCATTAGTTCGTTCATCTTATCGAGCAGGAGAATATTTTATTAAAAATATTATTAATAAACAAAAAGAACAAATACAAAATAAAATATAATTTATCATAAATCATCATGGATTTTGATCAAATCATTTATTTCTCGTTCAAAAATGAAATAGTTATGAAACTGAGATTTATGAGCGATGAGAGAAAGAGAAATTTATTTTTTTTTTCATTTATTTTAGTCTAAAAAAAACAAACCCTAATGAGATTGACGTATGCATCCAAACTCTATTTTGTCACTGATGTATGTAGTAGTTTGTATTTTTCTTTTTTAGATCACATAAATGTATTGTATATAGGCCTGCAAAAGTTCAGCGTTCATTTTTTAGCGTTCTCTTTGAATATGAACGCTAAACATAACGTTTTTTTTGAACATGAACGCGAATGTTCTGGTGAACGTTAACGTTATTTTATATGAACGTTGTGTTGATCTTGTGTGGAATGAATAGTATTGCAAAACGTTATATAGCAATTTCACCTCGTAGTATACCAAGTGAAACAGCTTTCTCCATTATCAGTTATATTTAATGAAAAATCAAGGCTCGTTTGTCCCATATGGGTAACTATAACAAAGGAAAACGTATATAGTTACTGTAATGGTTTTGGTCAAGGAACTTCGGTTTCAGTGCTGGAAAAAATAGTCTTCTGGTCAGGAAATCCTCGATCTTTTCTTGAAAGTCTTGATCAGAGAATTAAGGAATATTCTTTTTACATTGTAATAATCTGGTCACTGCCCTGAGCAGACTATCTGATCCTTCACTAGAGTTTCTATTGATCAGATAAGACCAAGCAGAAATATATATTTTCTTACTACAGTACAAGAACAGAAGTTTATATTTACTTCAGACGATATGAACACCGTTCGTATAAAAAAGCTCACGTCCACTAATGCTTTAGTGTTCACGTTCAAGGAACACGAACGTATCGAGTGCTCCAGGTAAAATGGTCCTTTTTTGTTTTTGCGATAACTCCATCATTTTTTGTGCAATCTGCTCAAACTTTTTTTCAAACGATGCGCCATTTAATTCTCTACAAAAACATGTGTCACCAATTTTCTCAGAGTAGAAATTCTTAGAGTTATAAAAGAAGAAGCGAGGATGTGTAAAAGTTCCAACTTTCTAAGGCAAAAAATGATTTTTCTCAAAAATCTTCTTCAGAGTCTAAAATCCGAGACGGCCATTCGAAAGACTGCAAAAAGTTCTATCAGATAGTCACTTCCAAACATTTTCCAAAGCCCGCATCGGCGAGAAGAGATTTTTCTGTTTTCTCAGAAAAACACCATTTTACAATCATCTTTTTTATCTCTTCCACGAAAATCCTCATAACTCAGCCAAAACTCATCTTTTTTCGATAATTTTTTTTTTCATTTTATAGCCTGTAGTCGCACTTGTTATAATAAATATAATTATGAACATCCGATATTTAGCGTTCACGTTCAAAGAACGAAATGTGAACTTTTACAGGTCTAATTGTACGTCTCTCTCGTTTGCTTTTATACCTAAACAAAGCCAATCTGTTTTTATTTTTATTTTAATGATATCATTGATTTATTTTTAAATAAGCAACTAATTTTCAATTTTTACTTTTCTCAATATCTCAGGAATAAATTTTTTATTGTTTTGTTTCAATTCTGATAGAAATGAAAAAAGTATAATTAATTTTGTGTAACTATAATGAGCGACTAAACGATAGTGTACAACTCTTTGTTTTATCGACTGAAGTTTAACAGTTCATTTTACTCAGTTGAAATAGTAGTCATTTGCCATCTTTTAATTTTTTTTATACAAGTGTGTATATTGAATTTTTTTCAAATACATTTCTTTTTAATCATGGTTACACTTTATACGTCACATTTGACTATATTTTCTCTTATTTTTGTTTACAAATTAAAAGAGACTATTTTATTTTAAATGGATTGTGTTTTTTTTACTTTCTATCACAACAAGAAAAAATGTATTTTTTTCTTATGTAGGCAAAATTAGTACTGCATTTTTTTTTTTTTTTGTATAAGTCATTTTTTTTCTAAATAAAATAACAGTTATATACAGAAGGATATCTGATCTAAAATGTGAAAATAAGAAAAAGAAATTCTAAAATCAGAAAATGATCAGAAAATATAATTTCAAAAGCAGAAAAACATTAGTTTTTTGGTACAAAAAGCAGAAAAGAGGTCGAATTGGATATTTGAAAAAGGTATTTGAATTTTTAGCAAATAATGAAAAGATGAGTATCAGGTCTTACAAAGCGAACATCAATACTCGTCATTCAGTTGATAGTCTGGAGAAGATGAGGAAAAATGATCAAAAACAACAATTAAATTGATTGTAAATATTTTATCATACCCTTGCGTCATCGGATAACGCTGAACTTTCGTCACATGAACGAAAGTTCTGTTTTCTGAGACAAAAGCTAATCCCTTTTTGGACGAAAGTGTCTGGTTTTTTAGATAGATGGCACGGTACTTTCGTCACTCGTTGCATGAAACGACTGCGATGAAATGAAAGATGTAGTGCAAAGTTTATTTGTCTAAAGTGTAGTAATGCAAACTGTAGCAGTGCAAACTAAACTAATAAGTGAATAATAAGTGTGTGTTGCGTTTAGGAGTAGTTCGGTCTGAAGTAGTCCAAATTGGAGTAGCCCAAATGCAAGCAGTTCTTTTATAGTCAATAAAAATCGTATATAAATGTGAGAACACAGGTAAAATCAAGTGTTGTTGTGCACATGGACTTTCGTCACACGTTATTTGCCATTATGTTATTAGTGTGTGAAGTTCTTTTTTCTATGTGATGAAAATTAACGTGACGACCGTGTTATTATCCCAATGTTCTACTTGACTGATAGTATTTTCTCATTTTTAAAACATAAATGAAATTTGTTCATTTTAATTTAACAATTTTTTTTTCATATTGTATTCATACAATACAATAAAGAGAGGCAAAATTGCAATTGCATTATTTTCGACTTAGATCGTGTAGTTAGCGTAATTTATTTAATTTTAAATAGCTTTTCTAGGAATTTATACTTAGTGTTTTAGACTTTCTCTTAACTTTGAAATCAAAGCAAAAACTAATTATGTTAAAAATACATTCACAGTTCATCTGATGGCATCACATGTTTGATCAATAACTAGGTTAGAATAGACAGATATGTATGCCAAACACTGTGTGCTATAAGGTGTTATTTGAACAAAATATTTTCGAAGATGATGATGAATAACTTACTTATTATGTAACTGTGGAGAATCGTAGGTAAAACAAAATTATACGGTACATAGAAATTAATACGCAATAAAGTAATTTCTGTATATTTTCTTCCTATCAATTTCCATTACAATTATGCCTAATTATTTGCTCAATAAAAAAAACACCTGTATATTCTAAAGCTTTCACTAATTGGTAATTATACATTCACTAAATGATGAGGATGCAAAAAGGATGGGTCAATCATACATGACAAGCATTGAAAATTATTTCAAAATCATTTTTTCTCTAAGAATGCCAATCATTGTGTTCTATAAGAAAAATCAAATCATTTATTCAAACTCAAAAGTCATATATAAACGATACATGTAAGCGAAATTTGCCCGATTTATTCTCTTTAAAAAAATCTTTATTCGGATCCGATAGAACCTTCTCAATATTTTAAACATAACAAAAATGGTTGGAATATTACTACCATCAGCAAAGGATCTATCCAAACAAAGCTATTATCAAACAAAATCACATTCTAATGTGAGTTTAATACTTATTTTCTCGTATCATGATCGCATTTCATTTGCTTTTAGATCTCTTATATCACACTCAAAGAAGAAGAACAGTCATCCGTTCAGAATCTCTCGCCACCTGTTGACGTTTCTATACCACAACTTGACTCATCATCCAAGTAAATTTTCATGAATCATCTATTTAAAATATAATTTTTATATTTAATTTTAGACCCAAAAAATATTATGGCATTACTTTGGGACAATTATGTGGATGTTTAATTATTTTAGTTGTTATTGGTCTCTCAACGGCCATTCCGATAGTTGCCATGCTCAATATAAGCCACAATAATCAATCAACACGTGAATAGATTATTGTATTCTTCTAAACTATGAAGTTATTTTCTGTTATTCAATTTAGAAAACCACTCGATACTCTACAACAACAATACAGGCTCTCTAATTAATCATGTCATCCTTGCATCTATCTACAAGGTAAGATTTGAAAACCATGATCGAAGCAACCGTAGAATAATGTACAGCACTTCTCTCAGATGTTTGTATAAAAGAATAGATATACATAAACTCTCTTTTATTCTTCATTTTACTAATTGTTTTCGATCTATACATGACTTTTTATTAGCTCTTATGTATAACACATAATTAAGTAATATATATTGTTGCGATGGAAAGAGTACACATAGGTATGCACCAGTTACAGTTTTTTACCAGTTAACTGTAACTGTGAAAACTGTAACTGTTATAACTGTAACTGTCGTAACTGTATAACTGTTATAATTGTAACTGTCATAACAGTGTAACTGTTATAACTGTAACTGTCGTAACTGTATAACTGTAAAACTGTAACTGTCATAACTGTAACTGTCAAAACTGTAACTGCTCATAACTGTAGACAAATATTCTAG